CTGTTCCCCGCACCCCGCTGCGCCCCCCCCCAAGGGGATCACCTTAGTCCTGTTCCCCCCCCCCCCCAAAAAAAAACCCCAAACCTGTTTTAGCAAGGTTAGCCCCCAGGCCTCCCACCTGCCCGGAGAGGATCGTCCCCAGCCCTCCCGCAGCCACTGTGGGGACAATTCCTTGGAGACATCCAGGCAGGGACCCACTGCAGTCCTCTACGGGACTTGGTATTCAGTGGTAGGCCCTGTTCCAGCGAGAGGGCCCAGGCCCTAAGCCCTCCTACCCTTCCCCACTACCCTGCACCCCGTGGCCACCCCAGCCGCGGCCCTGGGAGCTGGCCCTGTGGGAGCCCCAAGTGCTGGGTCACACCCCACACAGTCCAGGGTGCTGAGGCTTGGGGAAGGCAGGTGGCCGGAGAGGTGGTGGCAGAGCCCGGATTTGACTCTGAGCTGTTCAAGTCCACGGCCAAACTCCCCTGCCTTCCAGCTGCCTCCCCTATCATGCCTATACACCGGGAGTTGGGGAGACCCATGGGGCACCTATCCCCCGGGGAAAGGGTAGGGCCGGGCCCCGTGGGTGGGTAGGGCTGGTCTGTTACCACCGTCACTGTCCCCGCCACGCTCAGTCCCCTCGCCTTTGCAGCCAGCCTTACAGACACTCAGAGGGGGTCTCCGGCCAGGCTGGGCACTGCCCCCACCCCAAGACCCACCCCGGCTGGGACAGGGGTGCCAGACAGCCCACAGCCCCACCCCAGGTCACACTGAGCTCCTGCGTGGCCCCCTCGTCCACCCTCTAGCCTCAGTTTCCCCACCAGCACCTGAAGGTTCTTTCTGGGAGGAAATAAGGTCCCTGGCGGCCTGGTCACTGCCGAAGCCAGCTGGAGCAGGGCCACCTGTCCCCTTGGCCCGGTGTGCCCTCCCTCCTGCTCCTAATCCAGCCTCTAAGCTGACGCGGCGCCCGGAGGCTCAGCAGTGCTGCCCGCTACGTCTCCCCGAGGCCTAGGCCAGCAGCAGCGTCTTTTAGAGGAATGGTCTCCCCAGCACAGCCCCGCGGGCCCCATCCACCTGCCACGGGGCAGACGGGAGGCCCCAGGAGCCTCCTGGAACACTGGCTGCCTCTCAGGCCTGGCTCAGGGTGGCTAGGGCCTGGCCTGCCCCTTTGTCCCTAAGTCCTCTGCCCACCCGACCTCAGCCCTCCCTCCTGGGACGGTGGGAGCCACAGCTGGCTCCTCGTCCACCAGAGGCCGCTCACCCCGGGGTCGGACCCTGACTCCTCTGGGGCCCGTCCCTGCGTGTGTGTCTGTGAGATCTCTGTCTCTGTCTCCTCTGTGTCTCTCCAAAGCCCGCCGGCCTGGGTCTCCTGCCTCCCTCCACCAGAGTACCCCTAGGTGGAGGCCTCTCCTCGCCGCCCGCCCCACCCCCGCCCCCGGAGTAACC